CTGAGCCATTTATCTTTCCACCCTTCAATTAATCCCACATGTGTTTATCGGCCAGGTTGGCACAATAAACTAACTACTTCACACCATGTGCTCACAGTTGGTAGGCAGCCCTGGAGGATAGGGCAGTGCAGTGAGCCAGGGCGCATGAGGCAGTGGGGGTAGAAAGGGCTCGTAGGAAAGTTAGCTGGCAGATGGGAATGGAGCGGCTCTGCGGGCAAGGGAAAAGACTAGGGAGGAGTGGGGACGTTGAGTTGTATGAGAGTTTATTCATGCAATCATTCAACGGCTATGCACTGAATGCTTGCTAAGTGCTGGGCAGTGGTCTCATATTGGGCCCCCAGTGACGAATAAAACAGATCCTGCCTTCAAGGTGCTAGTAGGGCTCCTTCAGAAAAGCACAGGCATCTATCAAAGTATATGAGCAGCTGCCCTTCCCGGAGGGAGCCCTGGTGGCGCAGCAGGAAACCGTTGGCTGCTAACCAAAGGCCCGTGATTTGAACTGGCGAGGAAGGTGTGGCGGTGTCTCTGTAAGATTAGGGCCTAAAACCCCTGTGGGGGCAGTTTAACCCTGTCCTGTTGGGGCACTGTGAGTTGGAATCAACTTGACAGCGGTGTTTTTGTTTGTTTGTTGAGCTTCCCTGGGTCAGCGACATTGTAGTGGTGACCTAAAGGCCACCGTGATGAAGGTCTCGAGGTGACCTGTGGCACATGCATCAGATGGACTGAGGGGTCTTCCGTGTGGGGAGTAAGTGGGTTCAGTTGATTATGTGGGTGGAGCCAGACCAGGAATGGGGGTGGGAGTTGGATGTGTTAAAACATGTCCTGAGACCAGTTTATCTCTGAAGTGTTTCTGTATTCCAACCTCAGGGCTTTCCTGGAGAGAGAGGGCAGTAGGCAGAAGGAGTGAGGGCCTCCCCTGCTGTCTTGTGACTCATGTCCCTGTTTGCAGCCGGCTGGTGGGGCTGTTGCAGTGGACGAGCCACAGGAACACAAGAAGCTGAAGGTGGGTGCTATATGGAGTCTTCCCACTGCGGGCACAAGGGGAGGGGGTGTCTCAAGTGAGAGCCACTGGCCCTGGGCACTGCAACCCCAAAGCTTGAGGTCCTAGGCTGGGACCCAGGGCCTGGGCGAGCTGCCAGCCAGGATCCTTTACCAGAAGCGCCCTCACCTCCGGGTAAGGATGGGCTAGTTTAGGAGCTGGGATTGAGATGTCTGGACTGCCAACAGCTTGCTCTATGACCTTGGCCGCTTCCTGCTCTTGGGGCCTCAGATTCTGCGTCTATTGCAGGGCTGTTGGATTGGATGAACTCAAGTCCTGCTTACTGTCTGGAATTCTGTGCTTGTTTGATTGAAAGCCGTGGAGTTAGAATGGCCCTGAACTAAGAGAAAGAAAGGAAGTGCACTGAATGGGGGTCCGGGGTTTCTGAAAAATGCCTTACTGGGTGTCTTACTGGTTATCTGGGAGGAATTATTGAGGCAGTTGAGAAGCTAGGACCCTCTACTCTGGCCTGAAACTGCCCCCATCCTAAGTAAGTCCCTCGGCCTGCTGAGAATTGTGAATTACACGTTGGGCTTCTAATGGCAAGTTCAGCAGTTAAAAACCACCAGCCATTCCAAGGGAGAAAGACGAGGCTTTCTACTCCCCTGAAGACTCACAGGGGCAGTTCTACTCCGTCCTAGGGGTACACTTGATGGCAGTGAGAAGCCTGATGTGGAGGAGTGTGTCACTACAGCCACTAGATGGCAGAGGAGGGCAGATTGAGAGTTTCTGGGGGTGAGAGAAGAGACCCCTGGGAAGGAGGGTGCAAGAGGGCTTGAGAGAGAGAAGGAGGGAGGGAGGGAAAGGGGGAAGGAATGAGAAGAGAGAGATCTAGGGAGGAAACAGGCATTGGCTGACGAGCACTAGTCTTAGGCTGTTCCATTGTAAATCAGATGGGATTGCCAAGTGTCGCTGTGGATGAGCATGTGTCCCTGCAGTAAACCTGTCTGTAAGGACAGATGGCTCTCTCTGTGAGTGTGTGAACAGAGAACAAATGGACTGGGAATCAGAGTCTGGGTTGCTTGTTTTGCTTTTTGTACTTACTCCCCACATGACCTTGAGTAAGCCTCCTGGCGGCTGCGTTTCCCTTTCTTTTGCTGTAGAATGGGTCGCCTACCTTGTGTATCTAGTGGGGACAGTAAGGGAGCATGAGAGGGCTCGTCACTGGCGGTCAAGGGCTGCGTCCTGCAGGTGTAGCCCCTCTCCGAGGCTCTGTGTGGTTTCTGAAGGAGTGTGCCTGTCTGGGTGGGAATATACAAGCCCTTGGCAATGTGGCCCCTTTAGTACACATTGTCTGATGGGGGTGAGCCTTCAGGAGGTGTGTAAGATCAGGCAGTCACAGAAGAGCTGAGAGGAGGAAAGCTGTGAAGCTCCCCTGGTTGGAGCCAAGGGACTGGGGAGGCCAGGCTCTGGCTTCTGCGCATTCTCCTGTTCTTTGGTATGGGAGGGAAGCGCAGCAGTGAGGCTTGTGGGGGCTCTTCCCTAGCCAGCGGAGAGGCTCACTGCGGCCTACGTGGCTCTGCTCTTGCTCAGCTCCCGTCCGTGCTGACCCGAGGGAGCAGCTCAGCCTCTCTGCACAACAGCATCATTCGCACCACCATCTACCAGCTCATGCTCCAGAGCCTGGACCCTCTGGGCGCAGGTAAGCAAGGCCTACCCTGTTTACCCCTTTCCTCCTCCGGGTAAGGCGGGGTGGTAGGCACACAGAGTTGGCCGAGGATAGCGTGGGTGAGGGAGACGGGTCGAGACAGACAGAGGGCTAGCTAAGGGAGGCCTTCAAGAATTCTGGACAATGAAGTATGAGGGTGTCCATATCTCACTCTCCCCTTGTCCAGTGAAGGGGTTCACTGGCTACTAATGAGGCCCTGAACTGATCTAAATTACCCTCGGTAATTTCCCCACCATACCCACTGTCCTTTGAAGGTCCAGTGGCTGGCTGGGACTCTCCAGCCAAGGCCTCTAATGAGAGTATCTTCTAATCCTGAGCTCTGAGTAGCCCTGCCCTTTGCTCTGTATTCATTCAGCTCGAGTCCTAAGAAACCTGTGACTGGCTCCCCAGCTAGGTGCCCTCTGGGAGCTGCTAGGACCACTCCTGAGAGTGGTGGTGTGTATGGGGGCGTTGAGCAGAGTACAAAGTGCCGTGGGGGCTGATGTTGCATTTGACACATGATGAGGCAGCCGAGAGTGCCACCGTCCACCTCTCCAAGTCCTGCCTGCAGTTCCATTGCCCCGAGAACAGGTTCTGGGTGGCACACAAGTCACTTAACATGGCCCTTCTCGTCATTCTCGGTCTTGTGACTCCCACAGGATGATTGGGTGGGGACTATGCTTATCAGGTGCTTGGGGCTCACCAACGAGGCTGTGCAGTTTGCTAATAACTCCAGTCAGGTGCACGACACCCTTGTGAGAGTGGAACCAGCAAATAAGGTGTATGGCACCCGAATGAGCGCATTGGCCAGTCTGGCCCTCCTACTAGTCTTAAAACGAGCCATCCCAGAGGCAGGATGGGAAAGGGGCTCACTACCTCCAAGAAAGAAGAGCCAGGAGTAGGGCATGTCTTTTGGACCTTGGGTTCCTGTGTTGAGAACCCCCTAGACCCAGGGCATGGAAGAACTGGAACTCCTGAGATGGTGTAAGATGGTGAGAAGCAGTGGCAGAGAAATGGTGGCAACTACAGAGCAGTTCAAGGTGCAGTGGGTTCTGGCCCACAGAGGGAAGGAGGGAGCTGCAGGGGATGCACTGACTCCCTTTGTGCTGAATCTCACTGACAGCAGCGTGAGGTTCCTCTGGGCCCTTACCAGTGGAACCAAGGAACTTGGTGACACTCACCCAAGCAAGGCAGAGGCTGAGAGGCTGAGGGTCAGAGGGAGGTCTGCCTGTGGGCACAGCTGAAAAGAGGTTGTCCTGATCAGAGAACTGTATCCTAAGTTCTTTCTGATCCTGATTTGTAACCTGTTGCTGTCCCTAGTAAACCTCCTCACCGGGAGTGTGGTCTTTGCAATGACATCTGGAACAGAGCAGAGAAGTAGAGCGTGCAGAGGGTGGGGTGGGACTGCTTGTGTCAGAAGTGGTGAAAATGCGGAGGGTGGAGGCAGGGGTGACCCCCGTCTCAGGACTCAGCCTTGGGCTGATCCTGATTCCCTTCCACCTGCAGGAGGCCAGGCACCACTGGCCCACGATTTTGTTTTATTTTTCGCATCGGGTGTAAAGTATGTAAGTATATCATATTGTGAAAAGCAGAGTGGGAGAAGAACGTGGCGAACAAGCCTCTTTTAGACATTCTTCAAGGTGAACCCCAGCAGACATTGTGAGACCGGCTGCCCCAAACGCATGGCACCCTCAGATTTCAACAACAGTCCAGGGCGTGTGCAGGTCGAGTGCAGCGGGCGCCCCGCCTGGCCCAGTGAAGGCAGCTGGAGCTCTGTGCCAGGCCCCCTGCGGCTCACCAGCTCAGCAAACTCCTGAGGAGAAAGACCTGCTCTCGCCTGGGATGCCAGGGCTCCCTGCCTGGGCACTCCCACAGCCATCAGCCGCCAGCTGGCCCACTTGTCCTAACAGGATTACGTGATGTCCAGGCCAGGCTGAGGTCAGAGGAGATGGATTTAAGGAGATGATCCAGTCACCTGGAGAACTGGCCTGGGGAGGCCACGTGAGGAGATGAGCACTGGGGGAGCCTGAGACAATGTCCCAGGAAGGCAAGCATGCTAGGCACACTGTGTGGCAGGGCACCCTGTGCCAGGATGCAGTCTGTGCAGAAATTACAGCCCTGAACTCCATCACGGAGGGGCCGGGGCCAACCGGCCTGTGATCAGAGTCTCAGTCCTGAGAATTTCCACCGGTGTTTGTGTTTCCAGGAGGTGGGCCGAATGTCTCCACTCTTCCCAGGTGTCCCGGCTCTTTCCACAGAGCCGGCCCATGGAAGGGGATGGCCTGTGGTCTGAACTCTCACCATCCCTGGGAAGGAAGGAGTTTTTCTGCTCTGCGATCTTATGCCCTTTCTGATGATTTTACTGGGGCATGCGTGCATGTTCATGTGCTCGTGGGTTTGTGTGTGTGCGTGTGTGTGTGTGTGTGTGTGTGTGTGTGTGTGAGAGAGAGAGAGAGAGAGAGAGAGCGAGACAGAGAAATCGAGTCTGCAGTGGACCTGGCTCTCTGAGGGAGCACTGAGAAGTCAGGTGTGTGGTGCAGGGTGCAAGGGCAAGAGGGAACCTGGCCGTCCTTGCAGCTCCTCCAGCCTCGAGTCACAGAGGTTAACCAGCTCTCGGCCAGGAACCAAGGGACCCCCTCTTTGAAAACAGCCACACTTGACACAGCAGCAGGCCACAGGGCTTGGTTACGTGAGGGGCACTGACTCCAGTCTGGATGAGGGGGCCAGTGGAGTGTCATCCCCTCCTGTCCCCCGACACCTCACTTCATGGGACCTCATGCACCATAGCGGCCACTCTGCACTGTGCACAGTGCGGCCTATTGATAGAGGTAGTGGCAGCGGCAGCAACTCAGAGTTCAGGAGACAGACCCAGAGGAGGAAATTTCTGGTCCAATGCTCTCTTTTCTGCCAGCCCTGGGCCCAGGCTGCAGCGCTGATCTTCGATCTACTCAGCTTCCCGGACTGCACCGCCTCCGTTTCCGTGTCTGCATTGTGGGCTGGATGATCTTCAGGGTGTCTTCTCACTCAGCCCTCTGGAGCATCGGGCCTGGTCTCCGCAGAGTCGCTTCTGGCCGGGACAGCTCGTTGCCACCACGGGCCGCCACTCACAGGCGGTTCTTGTTGTCCTTGCTTCCCAGACAGCAGGGTCATGCAGAAACTCCCTCGCCCTCCCAACCCTTTCAGCCTGACAGATGAAAGACTGAGGCACAGAGAGGCGAAGGAACCACTCAGCTAGGGTTCCACAGCGGTGAAATTGGGATCCAAGCCCAGGCCACCTGGCACCAATATTTTGCTACCACAACCACGTGGGTGAGGGCAGCCCTTGCAGTAAGGAAAGCATTAGTGTTTAGTTTGCCTTGTGGACGCCCACTACAGTGCTCTGCGCATGTCCTGGTGTTGCCTCTTAGAGGGCAGACTCTGGGCCGTGGAGAGGGGACCCAGGCTTCCCAGGGGCACCCCGTGCTCGAGGGCAGCAATCTGCATGCATCCGATGGAATCGCTCTCTTCCATCTCCTTTACCACGGCCCCCACTGAGCCACTGGGGAGGACTATCCCTGAGCCCCTGCCCCCTTGAAATGACTGGGTGTCAGGCACACAGTCACTCTGACAAGAGCCACCCTTCCATTTTCCTTACTTGGAAAGCAGGATGTCACCATTGGGTGCACACCACCCTGCAGACACCTCCAGAAAAGCCTGCAGGCACAAGGATTGAAGGAGGCTCTGCTTGGGTGCAGGTGTCTGGAACCAAAAAGGCTGTGGCAGGGATATGCCGGGTCAGCTCTTTCCACTGGAGAGAGAGCGCCCACGAGCTTGGCCACCAGTAGACCCCTTGCAGCCCTAGCAATGCTCCGAGTGATTCATAGAGAGTTTCCACTGCATAGGCCCTGCACTGTCCGGGCAGCCTAGTCCAGGGGAGCACACCCAGGCCTGTGTGCCATCCAGTCCCGTGCCCTGCTCAGCACAGCCGTCACTGGTCGTTCACAGCCTCTCCTTCATTCAGCAGCTGCCACTTGTGCTGATAAAGGAACAACTCCTAGCTGTCGCCGCCGAGTCCAACCCTTTTACCACAGAGGAAACAGGCCTTGGGAGGGAAGTGATTTGTCCAAGGTCACAGCCAGGAGGTCGAGAGAATTTAAGGCCAAAGTTTGGGACTTGGGCACTCTCACCTGGTGGAGTGGAACCAGAATCCAGGCACCCCTCTCCCAGCCTGGGTTCTTCCCACCCACTACCCCTGTGCAGGTGCTCAGCTGCCCATCCCGACCCACCGGATGGAATTGCCCTGGCAGGGACCATGTGTGGTCCCACATCAGATGTGTTCCCTTTTTTATTCGCAGCCAGTCCCTCCATGGACAAGGAAGAAAGCTTGAATCAGGAGGCCACAGCCAAGCCCCAGGCCAAAGCAGAAAGCAAACGAGAAGGTGAGAAGATGTCCAGGCCAGCGAGGCTGGCTGGGAAGTAGCAGCCCTTTCCGACATACCTGCTGGCCTAAGGGCCATGCGTTCCTCCCGCAGATTCAGAAGGCCATGGACTGTTGAAGTCTTTCTTTCCTCGAAGGCCAGTGTGACTCTATTGGGGCAGGCACATGCTTTCTCCTTCCTGTCACTTCCACACAAGACCAGGCCAATACTGCTGGTGATGGCCTGAGGCCAGCAGGTATGAGAAAGCCACAGGGGTTCTGGTGATGGTGGCCCAGCAGCTCTGGTGGCAGCTGGGATAGGGGAGTGGGAGAGTTACTGCCCTCTGAGCTCTACAAAGCACACCAGACCTGACGGGTTTACCCAGAACCCCCTGGGGGAGGCAGAGCAGTAGTCAGGGTTCCCATGCTGCAGACAAGGAAACCGAGGCTCAGATGAAGTGAGAGAGCAAGAACTAAACCTAGCCAGTCCTGCCCCATGGCTTTATACCTGCTGCCTGGGCCGGGGAGTCAGCAGCATCCTTTCCATGAGGTTGGTAGGGGAAGGGCCAGACTCTAGTTGCCCAAACTCTTCTCAGCATTCCTAGCCAGGACGGAAAGGTCTGTGAACACAGGGATGGCAGAAATGGCCTCCTCCTCCCATCTGCAGGTATCTCAGTGGTCAGGGCAGTGACAGTTGACATCACATTCCTCTCACCAAGGAAGCCCCCAGTCAAGCCTAGGGAGATCCTGAAGTGACCCAAGTCCTGGTCTGACCATGACTCCTCCTCCTAGTGCCACTGCTGCTGCTTAGACCCTAGTGCTTGGTGCTGACCTGTCCCATGTTTATCCTTTAAAGAGGAGGAGCCAGCTGAGCTCCCTGCGGTCACAGTCACACCAGCCCCTGCTCCAGACAGCGAGGGAGATCAGGAGGAAGATGCTGACAGTCAGGTAGGCCCCCACCTGGCTGCCCCTGTACAAATGCCGGAATTTGGGAGGCTCAGGGAAGGGCTTGCTATCCCAAACTACTTCCTCCCTGGAGATCTGAAGTCCTATTTGAAAGTCATTCTTCTGGGGAAAGCATTGCCTTCTGGTGTTCATCTTTTACCTGGGAATCCACTCTGACACCTTGGGACGAATGAGCTACTATAGAAGAGATTGCGTTATAAACTCTCATCTGCTCTAAACGATACTGGGAAACATTGTGAGTGGGTCTGAAGTTAGCCAGGTAGCTTGATATACAGGTGTGGGGGGACCGAGTAAAGACTGTGACACTTTCCAAGGCTCCTCCTGGGAGCTGTCCCTGCTCTGGGCACCGTGGTCTGATACGTGGGTCTTCCGAGACTGGGCCACTATCTGTGCTTCAAACCCAGAGCCTCTTCTCCCACGATCTCACTCAGAAAACCAAGCTCACTGCCATCGAATTCATTCTGACTCAGCGGCCCTATAGGGCAGGGTAGAACTGCCCTGTGAGTCTCCTAGACTGTAACTCTTTACAGGAGTAGAAAGCCTCATCTTTCTCCCCAGAGTGGCTAGTGTTTTCGGACTGTTGACCTTTTGGTTAGCGGCCCAGTGTGCTCCTTCTAGTCCAGCGGGGTTTCTTGTCTCCATGTGTTCCTGCCTCCATGATGTGGCTCCCCTGGTTTTCTCCCCATACGACGCCTCCCTCCCTGCCCTCCTCTCCTTTTTCACACACCTCCTCAGACCCAGGGTACATGCCTCTTCTCCACGAAGCCTTCCCTGATTCCCATCCAGAACTCCCTCAGGGTTTTCCTCACTGACTTCCTTGTACTCTGTTGGTGTGTGCTGGGCTGCTAGCCCAATGATCAGCAGTTCGAGCCCACGAGCCTCTCTGTGGAGAAAAGCGGAGACAGTGTGCTTGTGTACAGATTACAGCCTGGGAAGCCCTACGGGCAGTTCTTCTCTGTTTGAGAGCATCGCTAGGGGTCAGAGTAGACTGACAGTCTGCAACCACAGCTATCAGTCCCCTACGGGGCGGTGAAGTTCCTGAAAGCAGGATCAAAGTGGCTGTGCTCAATGGGTTGAGTGACTAAGCAGTCAGGGGGCAAGTTCGACCTCCCAATTGTTTGTCTAACTTACTTGACACGAGAGGCGCTCATCGGACCATCCTGGATCCAACACCTGTGGGTTCAGTGTCTAAGACATCCTCATGATACTCAGTGTCCCGAGTAAGCCCGTCGCAGGCTGCTCAAGGAAAAGGGATTAGAAGGGCTTAGAAGGACACCTCCTGGACCAGGTGTCCTCAAACCATGGCCCGTGGGCCACATCCGGCCCGCCAAGGATGTTTATCCAGCCCGCCGGGTGTTTTTGCCCCATTTGTTTTTTTACTTCAAAATAAGATATGTGCAGTGTGCATAGGAATTTGTTCATAGTTTTTTTTTAAACTATAGTCCGGCCCTCCAACGGGTCTGAGGAACAGTGAACGGACTCCCTGTTTAAAAAGTCTGAGGACCCCTGTCCTAGACTGTACCTCTTTGTAGGAGTAGAAACCCTCACTTACGGAGCTAAATATTCTTTGGCTTCCTCTTTGGGGATTACAACCCTGGCTGTCTATGAGAATAATGAGAGCTTTAAAAATGTCCAGATATTTGCTACTGTCAAAAAGGAGGTGGAAAAGCCCAGAGCTCACGCTCAACAATGAAGTGAGAGTATCTGGGTGGGGGCTCAGGCATCACTGCTTTGAAGTTGCCAGGGCTTTTAATCTGCAGCGGGGATTGAGTCACTGAGCAGGCGGGGGTGGGGGTGGGCAGGGTTTGCCGTTACCATGAACTTTGTTCCAGAGTCTGTTCCGCAGACTCCCCCCTGACCACCCAGCTCAGGCGATTTGCACAGGGGACCGAGCCAACACATTCTTACAGGTTCGGTGGCTGCCAAATCTGAGGGACCCCAGCACCAATGGCTTTCAGAAAGGCTGCTACCAGGTCTGCAGATGGATATGGACTGGCAGTACTTCTGAACAAGTTCAAATACAACCTCCTGACTTCCAATCCTGTTGTTGGTGTTCACTGCCACCCTGTCCCATCCTCACAATTGTTCCATTTGAGCCCACTGTTGCAGCCACGGTGCCAGTCCATCTCCCCAGAGTCTTCCTGTGTCTCTGCCCTCTACCTTCCCGAGCGTGCTGTCCGTTCCCAGGGATGGGTCTTTCCTGACGACACGTCCCAAGTATCTGAGACAAAGTCTCACCATCCTGGCTTCTCAGGAACATTCTGGCTGTATCAAGACAGACGTGTTTGCCATCCATGGTACTTGCAAGAGTCTTCCCCAGCGCCACAAGTCAAGTATATCGGTTCTTCGAACTTGCACACACTTCCGAGGCAATTGAAAATACCACAGTTTGTGTCAGGCACACCTCAGTCCGCAACACTTTAAAGAGGTCTTGTGCATCAGATTTACCTACTGCAATCTGTCGTTCGATCTCGTGAGTACTGCTTTGATAAGCGTTTATTGTGGATCCAAGCAAGAAGTCCTTGACAACTTCAGACTTTTCTCCGTTTTCTCCTATTGGTCCAGGTGAGAGGATTTGGGTTTTCTTGACATTGAATTGTCATCCAAACTGAGTACTGCAGTCCTTGGTCTTCATCAGTAAGGGCTTCAAGGCCTCCTCACTTTCAGCAAGCAGGGTTGTGCCATTTACACGTGGAAGGTTATTAATATAAGCCTTCCTCCATCCTGGTACCACATTCTTCCTCATATAACCTCGTTTCTCTGATTATTGCTCCAAATACAGATTGAGTAAGTATGATGAGAGGTTACAATCCTGACACACACCTTTCCTGATTGTAAACCATGCAGTGTTCCCTGGTTCTGTTTGGATAATTGCCTCTTGATCCATGTACAAGACCCACATGAGCACAAGCACTATTCTGGAATTCCTATTCTTCTCAAGGCTACTCATAGTTTGTTAGGGTCCACACAATTGAGTGTCTTTGCAGTAAGTAAAGCACAAGTAAACATCTTTCTGTTATTCTCTGCTTTTAGCCCAGACCCTTCTGACATTGGCAGTGATACCCTTTTCCACGCCCTTTTAAAAATCTACCTAGAATTCTGAATTATTTTCAGAAAAATTTTACTTGCATGTAATATTAATGCCACATTGTTTTATAACTTGTATATTCTGTTGGGTCACCTTTCTTTGGAATCGGCACGAGTATGGCTCTCTTGCAGTCAGTCGGCCACGGAGCTGTCTTCCACATGTCTTGGCCTAGGTGAGTGAGTGCTGCTCAAACATTGCAATTGGTGATCCGTCAATGCCTAGAGTCGTGTTTTTGGCTAATGTCTTCAGTGCGGCTTCAACTTCTTCCTTTACTACCAGTAGTGTTTGATCACAGTACTACCTCTTGGAATGGCTAGTTCTCTTTGTACAGTATAGTGACTCTGTGTGTTCTGATGCTTCCCAAATTATCCACTATTTTGTCCATAGAATCTTTCAGTATTGCAGCTCAATGTTTGGAGTTTCTCTTGGGTTCTTTCAATTTAAGAAACACTGTGTGTTCTGCCATCTGGTTCTCTGACTCTGTGGCTGTGCACATTTCATTATGATGTTTTACTCTTGTCTTCTCGAGATGCCTTTGACAATTTCTGTTTGGCTTCCTCATCTCTTCCATTGGCCTTAACTGCTTACTCTGTGATCGAAATGACGTCTGGTCTCTTCTGACATTCGCCTCCATCTTCCCTTTCTTTCCTGTCTTTTTCATGACTCTTTTTCTTTCTTCATGTATGATGCTCTGATGTCATCCCACAGTTCCTCATGTCTTCTGCCATTTGTGTTCAGTGAATCAAGTTTCTTCTTGACATGTTCTCAAATTGCAGATGGGATATGCTCAAGGTCATGTTTTGGCTCTCACAGACTTGTTCTAATTTTCTTCAGCTTCCTGGTAAGCAGAGCATGTATGAACATGTTAAAATACAAACACTTGCCTTCCAATCCTCGACACTCTAATTCAGGTGCACCAGGTGGAGCCGGGAAGAATGATATTTCTAAGAAGGGCCCTAGGTTGAGAGCCCGCGTCTGACTCAGTTCTAGCATTTGAAAAAGAAGGCAGCTTAGTGGCCAAGTGGCCCAGTGCTGAACTATCCATGCTCCCATTCTGACTTCATCACTCACCGTGTGCTCCATGCACAAGTGAGCTCACTTTTCTGTGCCCGCGTTTCTGCATTTAGAAGGTAGGAATAATTCTTAGCTGACACATGGAATTTAGCTAGGTTCGTTATTCGACCATTTGGCATAGTGCCTGGCACATAAAAAACCTTCAAGGAGATGTCGGACAGGGCAAGATATGACAAATAACAATTTATAAGTTATCAAGGGCTCATGAGGGAGGGGGGGGGGCGGGGGGAATGAGAACCTAGTGCTGGGGGTTTAAGTGGAGAGGAAATGTTTTGAGAATGATGGCAAAGACTGTACAAATGCGCTTTACCCAATTGATGTGTGTATGGATTGTGATGAGTTGTATGAGCCCCTAATAAAATGATTAAAAAAAGAAAGAAAAAAGAGACAAAAAACCCTTCAAAAGATAAGTGCATCATAGTCATTATTTCATTTATTTAATTCATAGAGAAAAAAAAGAAATGTGATACGCTTTCAAAAGCTATCATACCATAGTAGGCAACACGAATGGAGGCATGACCTAAGACAAGGAAGGCGACATCCCGTTTGACATTGTTCCCTTCCGGGTTACCAGCTGATTAGGATGAGCTCATGAAGAGGGTGAGGAGGCTCTCGGCCATGACGTGCGGGAGTGATAGAAAGACCTGGAACAGCTTATTCAGGGAGGAAAGCTACTTCGTGGAAGAGGACTTAGACGTGTTCGGCGTGCTCTGAAGTGTAAATCTACCCGCAGGGTTCTTCCCAGTCCAGCGAAACCAGACCAGACCCTTGTTTGTAAAATGTGGGTAAATTTGAACAATAATGGGAGTGGGAGAAAATATTGGTCAATGCCCTGTTAGAAACTTAATTTCTCTCTTAGAAAACCAGGACGGGGAGCTCAGTAATTCCCTCGGCCTGAAGGAGGCAGGGCAGTGGGGGAGCAGCAGTGAAGAGATGAGTCACTTCATAACTGCCGGGTGGCTATCTGTGCCACTGTAATCTGCAAGTCCCTCAATGAACCCTTGATTTTACTTTAAGAAAAGAAAACACCGGCATTATTCGAACTGCAGAACAGTCACATTTCCAGACTGGCAGTCAGAAATAGCAGTGCCTTGTTCAGAGATGGCCAGAGCTGCACAACTTAAGACTCTGTCCCTCTCCATGGTCCTGCCCAGGACCCAGCCTCCAGCATCAGGCTCCTGAAATGGGTCACTGTTGCTTCTGCGTCCCCCCTCCAAGGCTTCAACCTGTAAAGTTCCCATTCTGGTCATTGTTCTACTTCCCTCCCCAGCCCAAAGAAAAAAAATCTGGTCTATTTTGGCTTCCTTCATGAACAGGGTTGACAGGCCTGCCTATATGAAAGGGGTAGAAACCTGCTGCACAAATGGACTCCAGTCAACCCGAGCTATCAGAGATGACCGAAGTTGCTCAGGTGGTGAGCTCTCCGGGCCTGGAGAGGCTCAGCTAAAGCCTGGTAACCACTGGGTACGAGTGTAAAGGGAGGCGTTTTACACTTGTTTTCACCTCAGACTCAAGTTTTCAGAACCACCACCCAAAGTGTGTGTGTGTGTGTGTGTGTGTGTGTGTGTGTGTGTGTG